AGTGTTGGCCGGTTTTATTATTTTTAACTGACAAAAGTATATATTTATGATATACAATGCAATGTTTGATACATGCATACCTTGTAGAATGATTAAATCAAGCTAATCAGCACATCTATCACCTCAAATACTTACACTTTTTTTGTGGGGAGGACATTTAAAATCTACTCTCTATACAATATTCAAGTATACAATACATTATTATCAACTATACTCACCATGCTGTATAAAAAATCTCCAGAAATATGTCTCCATACCCTTTGATCAGAATCACCCATTTGCTCATTGCCCACTCAGCCCCTGGTAACCACCATTCTACTCTCTGCATCTACAAATTCAACTTTTAGATTTTAAACATAAGTGAGATCATATAGTATTTGTCTTTCTGTACCTAGCTTATTTCATTTCGCATAATGTCTTCCAGGATCATCCCTGTTGTCATAAGTGACAGGATTTCCTTCTTTTTAAAGGCTTAATAGTATTCCATTGTGTATATATAATACATTTTCTTTTCCATTAATCCACTGATAGACACTTAGGTTGATTCCATGTCTTAACTATCGTGAATAGTTCTGTGGTGAAAATGGAAGTGCAGATATTTGTTTGACATGCTGACTACATTTCCTTAGGATATATTTCCTACCCACTTCTGGCTAGAAGTGGAATGCTGGGGGTTAACACACAAAAAAGGAACTCTAACAACTCAAGATCAAGAAAATGAATAACCCAATTTTAAAAGTTGGCAGAGGATCTGAATAGACATTTCTCAAAAGAAGACATACCAATGGCTAACAGGTATATGAAAAAATGCTCAACATCATTAATCATCAGGGAAATGCAAATTAAAACCACAATGCGATATCACCTAACATTTGTTAGAATGGCCTCAGTTTCCCAAGTAGTTGGGACTACAGGTGTGTGCTACTGTGTCCGGCTAATTTTTCTATTTTTAGTAGAGACCAGGTCTGGCTCTTGCTCAGGCTAGTCTCAAACTCCTGGTCTCAAGTGATCCTCCCACGTTGGCCTCCCAGAGTGCTAGGATTACAGATGTGAGCCACCACACTGGCCCAAAAATGTTTTTATAATGTTGCCTCTACCATGAAAACATTCAAAATAGAAAAAAACCCAAAGAAACCTGGCTGATTGCTAACAGAGTTCTCTAGTCATGTGCACAGATAGTTCTTTTGGAATCAGTGGCCTCCATACCTCTGTCAAACAGAGCAGGTTGGCCAGCACCTGTTCTTCATAGCCATTCTCTAGACAAATTTTCACCTAATCTCACAGTGTTTTAGTTGGCTCTACTAAGAAGTAAGGATAATATGCAGCTTTACATAAATGCATAAATTAAAATCTTCCAGTATGTTCCCCAGGGAGATACTCTGACTCTCTTAGGCCTATAGCTTTGGGGTGTTTCAGAGTGTCTATGTTTCAGAGTGTCTACTCTAAATTGTCACTTAATGCTACAGAATGAATTATGTCCCTGTCAAATTTATATGTTAAATACTTAATTCCCCATGTGACTATATCATCACGAGAGCCTTTAAAAAGGTGATTAAGATTAAATGAGGTCATAGCATAGGGTAGAGCCCAAATCTCATAGAACTGGTGTCCTTTTTATTATTTCAAAATCTTAAGGGGCTACAAATGTTTTACTTACATAGATAGCTTTTATAATGCTTTAGTCAGGGCAATAAGTGTGCCTGACTTTTATTTTAGAGGATACCAAGAGGGACATTAAGAATATACATTTGCTAAGTCCATCATCATCTTGAACAAACTCTATTACTTTTATGAAAAGTAAAAAAGTTAATGAAAATATAAATATAAGCTAAAGCCCTCTTTTTTGCTTGCCAAATTTTCCAGTGCAATAATCATTAAAAATTGTCATATTAGCCCTCATTGCTTTCCAAAATAGCCATCCTATGGGTTTTATTTAAGACTTTGGTTGTGACCTTTGAAGAGTAATAGGCTCTTAAAGATAGTTCTATATTAATTCATTTATTTTCGTTGCACTCTCTGCTGCCTCCTCCTTTCTATTTCATCCCCATACACAACTGGGGAAAGGACATCATAGAGGGAGCACTAGAGGGGTCTATTTTAAAGAAAAAGAAAGGGCAGTCAGGGTCTTTGATGATGGCAGAGTTGTTTGTGGCATATTGTACAGTAGTAAATACTTTTTATAAGCACAGAGAGTGATCTCTTTCCCCTTTCTTCCATCTCTCTGAGTCACTACCCACTCCGAGTATTGGTAGTAATTAAACGGTCTTGAGTAAGCACTGAAAAAGTAGGAGTGTCTGTAAAAGAGTCAGGGAGCCAGCCCTTACGTTGTCTAGAGACAAGGCAAGATCCAACTTTGACTTTCTAAATAGAAACTACAGCATAAAACCATAGACATTTAAAGTTGAAAGAGCTCTGTGCCCTTCACTGCAAGCCACTCCTGTCTTACCTCTTCCCATGGCAGGACTCCTCCTATAACATAAACGATGGATAAATGATTCAGCCTTTATGTGAACAGTTCTAGTTGACAGAGTTCTCACCGCTTTAAGAGCAGCCCATATCCTTGTCAGACAACTCTAATTCTTAGAACATTCTTAATAAGAACTAAAGTCTGTTTTCAAGAAAGTTTTGTCCATTAATTCCAGCTATATTCTCCAGCATTACACAGAATAAAGAACTCAAGGTAATGGAAATACTATGGGCTCAGAGACATACATTCTTGAGGCATTTCAATTCTGAATCCTAGCTCTGCCTACATGTCTATAGGCGAGTTGCTTAGCCCTAAGAGCCTTAACTTCCTTATCTGCTAAAAGAAAATAACTACCTAAAAGGGCTATCTATGAGGAGTAAGATAGCCTATGTAAAGTCCCTGACATGTCATAAGTGTTTGATGAACATTAATTTCTTTCTCTTCCACACCCATGAAAACCCTTCAAATATTTGAAGACAGATATTACATCTCCCCGAAGTCTTTCTTTCCAGTCCAGCCTTGAGCATACTCAGTTTCCTTCAGCCACTTCTCGTGAGACTGGCCCATGAGCTCCAAGATAGGAAGACATAACTTACTCAACTCCAAACACCCTAGTGCCCGGCATAGTGTTTGAGAAATAGTTGGTGGTCAAGGGATATTAACTAATCATAACTAAGATGACCTTCACATGCTAATCTCAATTCTAAAAAGTCTTTGGGGGAGATGCTGAGAAATTGTTTATATGTATAAATTATCAGTATTTCCCCCCAAACGTTCAGTTCCCTGCCTTTATTATCAGGAAATTCAGAACAATATTTTTGCTCAATAGCAATGCTTCCTTGCTTTCCTCATATAATTACCTCCATCCCCAACCCTTCATTTGGTCTTTGTCTTTTACACTTGTTTTTATGAGTATTTTGCCTATTTGTTTCATCCTTTGAAAAGGAGGCAAGGATGTTTGAAGACATGCTCTAGTCTCTTTTTAAATACCTAAGAAAACAACTGAATATAATTCTCCTGTTAATTGAATATTCTCTATTAAAAGGTAATAAAAACGTTTGCCAGTTCAGCATCTCAGACTCACTTCCACCCTCAGCCTGATGGTATCCACGTCTCCCTTTCCTCTTTACAGAGAGAACGTAGTAATATTTCTAAACTCCTTGGATGATAGAAACGTCTTTAAAAAGCAGATATCAATCCCATTTTTAAAATAGCACATCTTAGGTAAGCAAGGTTCTGCACAGCCAGCAAAAGATTTTTTTTTTTTCTTAACTCTGCCTCAGGGCAAGGAGAACAGAGCATTGAAGCAACTGAATCAACTGGTATCTCCACTTTTGTCACATGGCTAAATGAGGCTCTTATTTTTAAACACAGGATTGACACCCACCTATCAGGGTTGGGTCAAATACAGGCCATCCTGCAGGCAGACAAAGGAATCAGGTGACTTGTGAGATCCCTGTCAGTCCTGTGATTTATCAAACAGAAATGTAATTGTGTCCTTAGGTTAAAAAAAAGGGGGGATGGGAGCCAACAGCACCCTGGAGATCCCTCAAAACTATAACCTGCAAAAATCAGTAAATGAAACAAGAAACCTCATCCCCTTCCTTTGGATGTGTATGAAGCCAAGACTTGAACTGCCTACAGAAGGAAATAAAAATAAGACTAGCTGACAGCGGAGGAGGAGAGGCTGTGTTTGGTGGTGATGAATCAGGTCATTAGACCCGGAGGGTGTCTCCTTCTTCACTATACAATTAGGGACGCAATAAAAGGTTCCAGTGCCAGCTGTCTGCTCACAGCCCGCTGCTCCACGTTCTACCTGCTCTCACTCGTGAACAAGGTAAGCCTATCTGCTTGAGTGTACTTTGAATCTTGGCTCCTGCTGCTTTGCTTATATGTGAGACTGAGAGAATTTCAGAGGAAACACAGTCTAAGTTGACCCCCATTAATAATAAGATGGGAGCTCTAGCCACCCAAATGCAGCTCTTGCTTATGGAACCTCTTTGATCATTTTCTTTTTTAAAAAATGTAAACCAGATGACATAGGCATGAATACTATTTAACAAGGCATGGGACTCGGGTCTATATAAAAATGAAAATGAAAATGTAAAGTCATTTAAATGATGGGTAATGACTAAGGGGTCAGGGCTCTATTTGTCTTACCAGTGAGTTCACATGGAACCATGTCGTCTTGGTAAAAAACATGTTGCTTCCACCTGCAAACATAAGTGTTGATTTTCTTCGTGTTACTTCTCTTCCCTCTTGAAGTTTTACTAACTTTAAGAGTTATACTTTGCTAAGCAGAGGAGGCTGGACTGAGCCAACGGGAGAAGAAAGCAAGTAGACACTCTCAGATGAGGCTGGAAGAACTGATCTCACTCTGTTGGCTTCATTTGTGCATTTCAGTACTTACGCTTGAGTTCTTTCACTCTCCTTTTGCAATGAACCTTACTCCCATCACACGAGTGTTGCTGTTTACTGCAGGGTGGAGTGAAGTGTCCCTTCTAATACCTACCTGAGCTAGATATGCTCTCACCACAATGTCTGGTCCAAAACTAAGTCACCCCTGGAGTTCAGATGCAATATTCTGAGATACAGAATAGAGCAGGGGATGCAAATGGACCTGGAGGAAGAATAAAAAGAAGGATAATCTTGGTATCTCCTTCCTGAAGGACCCATCGGGGAAATGAGCTTTGTTTGTTCTTTTTCACAGTCTGTCCTGAGTTTATAAAGATGCCCCGGCTCCTGAGAGATGTCCTCTGTGTGATTGAGACATTCCACAAGTATGCTGGTGAGGACCGTGACGGGGCAACACTGACCCGCAGAGAGCTGAGACAGCTCCTCCAGGGCGAGTTTGGGGACTTTCTTCAGGTGAGGTCTCACAGGGCTGTGGAAATTCTTCCCCACCTGCCCTTTCTCCATAATCCATGCAAGATGAGCATCAGTGACCCCTAGCCATTTTACACCAGGTTGCCAGCACTCAGAACTCACTGACTTTTTGACAAGTTTTGTCAGTTTCAGTTCCCTAATCTGTGCAGTTGGTTAGTAAATCTACAGAGGAAATGGGGTTTTTCATCACTGGGACTATTGCTCCCATAAAGTAGACTTCTGAGAGAAGTCACAAACCATTCTGTATCTAAATGCAACTCACAAGTGATATAAATGCTCCTTCTCAGTCACAGCTCTCTTATGAAAATGGCATCCAAGCCAATGAATTCTTACTGTTTTGGGAAATATAACAAGTTCCTGGAGAGGAAAGGAGAGGAGAGGAGAGGAGAGGAGAGGAGAGGAGAGGAGGGAGAGGAGAGGAGAGGAGAGGAGAGGAGAGGAGAGGAGAGAAAGAGAAATAAAAAAAGAAAGAGAGAAAGAGAAAGAGAAAAGAAGGAAGGATTTCTAGGAGACATTCAGGATCTCAGGACACTTGGCTACATATGAATAAACTGATTTCTCACTGTGTTTTCATGCAGCCATGTGTCCTTCATGCTGTAGAGAGAAACTTGAATCTTCTGGATATTGACGGTGATGGTGCCACCAGTTTTGATGAATTTGTTCTTGCAGTCTTCAACTTGTTCAACCTCTGTTATCTTGACATACAATCATTACTAAGTTCAAAACTAAAACAGATATCCAAGCCAGAGAGGGAGAAGCCAGGTGATGTGTATCTTCAGGAGACCACCAGAAATGGCCAGCAGACAGTAGGAACTTTGCCAACTCAAGAAAAGTTGATGCTTCCTTCAGGAATGGCATCGTCATATCAACTCAGCCCTGAAGAAAATAGAGCAGTTGGACACAATAAGGTAGACCCACAGGGAGATGCCAAGACTCACAATCTGCCAGGAGAAGCATCTGAGCAACACAACGACCCTAAGAACCAACACTTGGAAGGAGATGAACAGCGCCAGGAAGTGGCCCAAGCTGTAGCAGCAACAGAAGACAATGGAGCCCAACTTAAGACAAATAAGCCAATGGCAGTTTCAGAACAAACCAGCAGTCCCACAGAGGGAGGGGGACAGGATAAGGAGATCCCTAGGGAGGAAGATGAACAAGCCAGGGAGCAAGGTGACACAAAGATAAGAGACCAGTTTGCAGAACAGGAAGGAAACTTAGGAACCCAAAGTTCTCCACCAGAAGAAGCAACACACAGACCATATGAAGATCATGAAGTTAGAACAGAAAAGGGTATTAAGAAATACTCTCAAACACAAGAACCAGCCTTGCAAGAAAAAGAGGAACCCAGTTCAGAGCATGCTTGCCTGCCAGAAAAAGCTGCTGCCAGGAAACCATCTTGGACACAGAAATCAACAGACCCTGAGAATGATAGTAGAACATTTGAGAGCCAAGAACCAGGAAAGGTTGCTAAGAGGACACCACCTGAGACAAATATTTCAGATGAACCTGAGGACTATGGTAGGATATCTGAGACCCAAGAATCATTGGCACATAAAAAAGAACATGAAACAAAGGACCTGACAGTCCACGGTGATAGCAGAAGTATTTCAGAAACACCTGACGTGAGAGCTGAAAGCAAAGATGGGAGAGGCCCTGAAGCCCATGGAACAGCAAGGCAGAAAGAAAGTGACAGAAAAACTCAGCCACCAGCCCTGAAATCCCAAACACGAGATGGGAAGTATCAGGAACTCCAGGGATCATCAAAAGGAAAAGATGCTGGAAAAGGTTCTGAGACACAAGATCTAAGCTCACAAGGAGGAGAACAAAGTCACCCTGAAACTGAAGGAGCAGCAGACCCAGGAGAAGAGGCAAGTCACACTGAGGAAGGTATAGCAGTAGCATTTTTGAACAGGAAAAATGATCCTGCAGTAGAAGGAACACCAAGAGCAAGAGAAAGAACACAAGAGTCGGCACCACTTGACAACCAGCCTGAAGGAGGAGACAACACAGTCACCAACACTCATGATAGGCCAATCAAGGAAGATGATTGTTACCAGAGGGAGAATCCTGAGTTGCCAGTCACACAGAATGGTGAGGGGTCTTTTGAAACTCCCAACAGCTTGGCTCCAGAGAAAAGCAACAGCAGCTCAGAGACAGGAGAACTGCCTGTACAAGGGGATTCCCAGAGTCAGGTCGACCCGCATGGAGAGTCTGCACAAGGAGGTCACGACAACCCAGATACCCAGAAACAGGAAGCACCAGGTAAAAGAAACAGAGCTCAGGAGGCAGTGGTGCTGGCAGTCAGAGGAGAGGATGTACAGCTCACAGAGGAACAGGAACAGCCTGCCAGAGAGGAACACAAGAGTCAAGGCTCAGGGACCACAGGGCCAGGTGCAGCTGTGGAACCTGATGGACACCCAGAGGCACAGGAGCCCACAGTAGGAGGCGAAAATAGACAGTGCCTGAAGACAGAGATCCCAGGTGCCTTGGATGCAGACTGCCCTGAGCAGCTTTCCCAAGGGCAGCTCCCTGAGAAGGGAGACAGCAGAAACAAGTTATGTGGCCAGAGCCCAAGTACCAAAGATGAGGAAGATGGAGCACCAGAGGCCCAGGATGCTCTGTTAAAAAACATGGATGAGGACAGTTCAGCCTCCCCCAAGACACACTTTGGAATGGAAGAACCTATAACACTGGAGGAGAAGGATGAGAGTCTCCAAGAGCTGGCAGAAGAAGGTGATGACTGACAAATTCCAGTACAGAAAGGGTACGAGTCTTTAGTCCCCCAGTCAAGCCTTGAAGAGAGAATGCATAAAGACCAAGATTCCTGTTCTGTGGAAAGGGGTGCAGCTCATCTTAGTCTATTATACCATTACCTACAGGAGAAGATACTGCAGCAAACAAACATAACCCAAGAGGAGGATCAAAATCAAGCATCAGACCTAGAGATTTGCAATGACCAGTCAAGGGCCTCTGTCACTGGTGAGATATCAGATGGTCTTGTGTTTTTCAACCACAGCCAAGCATCACAACAGTACAGCAGGAACCTTCTGCCTAACGAGGCCCCTGCTGGTGCACAGCAAACATCAGTTCCCCAGATAAGCAGAGCTACCCTTAGAGATAGGACGCAGTACCACAAAGGGAGGCAAGCACCACAAAGCAATGAATCATTATCCGTATCACAGGAGAAGTTACAAGGAACATCATCCATCCCAATATGCCCAGACCTCTCTCCCAATCACCCTCAACACTCACATGTACACATTCAGATGTAGATTAATAATCTTTTATGTTCCCTTCTGAAATTCCTACAAGAGCAAATAATAAAGTATTTAGCAGTGGGAGCCACCACCAAAAAAAAACATCTGAATAAACAAATACAATAGGTAAAAATCCTACCACATGATGCTACTTCCAAGTACTGAAATGAACTTTCTCATAAGACAATTTATTTCAATTTACCTGTCACTAAAAATAGAAAAATCTGTTCCATATCTTTAACAAGTATCAATTTTTTCAACTGATTCATCGGCTTTTTAAAATGTAGCAATAGAAGTTATAAGACTCTGCAATACTATCTCATAATCATAAAATATTAATTTATAGATATAGATTATTCTGCTGCATGATATTTTCTAGAGGTATTTCAAGTCCATCCTAAAATTTTATCCATCAAAATAATTTCATATATCACTATAACTTAAAATAATTATGATTTTATAGCACTCAATTAAAATAAATTTATAACTTTTGCTCATGTCTAGGTACAGTTGAAACTATGCCACAGATTCATTCACTCAACAAAATTTTATTAAATCCCACTCCTTACACAAACTTTTCACAGCTTCTGGATCAAATAAGCAATCAGAATGATTATGAAAGAGAAGACACAAATGTAGAGTATGCTTCATTCCATAAGCTATTGTAACCAACCATCCAGTGAGTCTACTAAACATTTACTCATATGGTTTGCTATATTGACAATTAAATAATCTGATGATTAATTTCTTTTGTTGGTTCGTTTTTTTCCCTTCATGCTCCATCTTGCCTTGAAGACATTGATCAGAAACAAAAACTTCAGTTATTTGTGTTTTATCAAAAGACTCTAAGTATAATGCTCTCAGAGCTTAGTAATAACCCAGGAAAGGAATAAAATAGTTATGATACAATGTTTCCCAAAGGTGAAAAGCACCCCAATACTCCCTCTCCCTCTGCCTTGGAGGCTCAACATTCTTCCACTTCTATTTACACATCTTCCAGAGTCTAAAATCCAAGTATATATCCTTCCCTTCCAACATTATCAGCTCTTCTCATTCTACTTTCAGACATGAATAAATAACCCTATCTGAAAAAATATTCTCTTACACGAGCAAAAGATATGAGACAATTCACAAAAGAGAAAAATGTATACTACCGCACAAACTAATCATGAACTTTGTCATTTTTATGAACCCAGGTAAGCAATTTGGCAATATATACCTGGGTTCATAAAAATGACAAAGTTCATGAATAATAAATTCACAAAAGAAGTTAGACGGATGGTCAATAAACATACGAAATCCTCACTAGGCTTGAAGGAAATGCAAATTGCAAATAGCTTTTTCACTTATCAAATTAGCAAAGGTTGTTTGTTTGTTTGTTTGCTTTTAATAACCACATAGTCAGGTTAAGAGTGTAGGGAAACAGGAACTGTCAAATACAGCTGGTAGGAGTATAAATTAGTATCATCTTCCTGGAAGGCAATTTGACAACGTGCATAACAAATATTTTAAATATTTTTCAGATAGTATGGTAAGGAAATAATCAGGTATTTGCTAATTTTTCTATATATTTTTAGTTGGCCAATTAATTTCTCTCTATTCTTAGTAGAGACCGGGGTGTGTGTGTGTGTGTGTGATCTCGCTCTTGCTCAGGCTGGTCTTGAACTCCTGACCTTGAGCGATCCACCTGCGTAGGCCTCCCAGAGTGCTAGAATTATAGGCATGAGCCACTGCACCCGGCCAACATTTACTTTTTGTTTTGATATTTTCTTGATTTTCCATCTTCATCTATAGTGAAGATGTGATACATTTGCAATTAGAAAAACAATAAATACTATAATCTAAAATAGAAAAACACAGGCCGGGCGCGGTGGCTCACGCCTATAATCCTAGCTCTCTGGGAGGCCGAGGCGGGCGAATTGCTCAAGGTCAGGAGTTCAAAACCAGCCTGAGCAAGAGCGGGACCCTCTCTACTATAAATAGAAAGAAATTAATTGGCCAACTGATATATATTATATAAAATTAGCGGGCATGGTGGCGCATGCCTGTAGTCCCAGCTACTCGGGAGGCTGAGGCAGAAGGATCGCTCGAGCCCAGGAGTTTGAGGTTGCTGTGAGCTAGGCTGACGCCACGGCACTCACTCTAGCCTGGACAACAAAGCGAGACTCTGTCTCAAAAAAAAAATAAAATAAAATAAAAAATAAAAATAAAAAAATAAAAATAAAATAGAAAAACAATTTTTCACCAAGATGTTCATAACATCATACTTATAATAATAAAAAGTAAAGGAAATCAAATTTCTAATAACAGAAGAGTAGGTTATAAAAATTATCAAACATAACCTTCAAAGCTATTAGGTAGTCCCTACAATGTACATTATAAAGCCTCTGCAATCATATGGAAAACGTATGTGGAAAAATATGATACTGTTCTGTGCTTATGGCAAGATACCAGCTATATTCAAAAAATATATAAGTAGAAAAGATAATGACAGCAAATATATCTAAATATCTACAATGCTTATCTCTTGGATATAAAATTATAAGTGACTTTTTTCTTCTCTATAGATTTCCATATTTTCACCTTTTTCTGTACCAAGCACATTTTATTTTCTTAATTGAAAAATACCAAAAAATAAGTAACAGCAACAGTTTTTAAATGTTTTCCTTGTATTCTAGATACCATCCAACTTTTCTCTCCTTCTCTCTGCCCACCATTCTGTCCCTAATGCAGGACAATATATATATTGGGGGGTGGGGGTGGGCATCATCCTTTAAAACTTCTTCCTTTGAAGGTAGCATTGCCCTCTATCCAACAAGCCTAAAGACCTCCGTCCTCCACTATACTGGACCTCTTTGTGGGACCGGATACTCATGGCATCCTTGGGAAAACTCCTTTCACTGATCGACATGTCCCCACCTCTCTTGCGAATCCTTCTCACCCAGCTCTCAAGACTGTGGGCCCTTTCCAAGGCTCTCCTTTTTGTGGACTTTCTCCCTCTGGGAACCCATCCCTGGTGCAAGTTACTATTATCTCTTTTACGCAGATGAGTCTCAGTTCACCTAGCTCAGATGGTTCACTTCAATTGTTATAAATGCTCACAGACATCAGCCCTGAGACTGTCAACAGTTCCCCAATAAACTGGCTTGTCTTCTCAGTTTCCTTCCTTCTGCCATTCTCCCAATCCTCATTCTATCAGACTTCAAAGGCACAAACTTTGGAATCATCATTTGCCTTGTCTCTTATTCCTCATATCTAATCCACCATATTATCTCAAGAGTGTTTTTCTTAAGCTCACATTCCAGATCCATCTTTCATTCTCCTATCCCTATAAGATGTCATGTACCCTCCACCTAAAATACTGTCTCTCCCTCCCCTTTCACTGAATGTTCAAATCCTGCCCATCCTATGGGATCTAACTCCAATGCCACATTATTCATTCATTCTAAGATTTTTTTAAAACCCATGTTAGGGCCAGATGCTTGGTGAGGTATTACGGCTATACCAGTGACCAAAACAATTCATCTTGGAGCTTGTAGTCTAATGAGGGACGGGAGAACAAACAAGTACAATAAATAAACGAGATAATTGCAGATGATAAAGCAAGGTAGCCTGGTAGAGAGGAGGCAGGGGTCAGGGAGGCATAGGCAGGCGGAAGTGCTGCACTAGACTGCTGCTCTAGCCCTTCCTGATGCCCCAGCCAAAGCAGAGCTTATCTTCCCCTGAACTCCATAGTCTCTCTGCCTGTGCCTCTTTTTTTTTTTAACTCTCTCCGTTGAGTTATAATTATTTGCATGTTTGCCTTAGCTCTCCTCTCAGACTATAAACTCCTCGATGGCAAGGTTCACGACTTACACATCTTACTATCCTTTATTAGCATGGAGTTTAGCACCAGATGTGTACTATGGTTTCAATAAATGTTTGTTGAATACATAAATGACTGCCTATATCATTGTAACAGCCTCTTAGCTGGTCCCCCTGCTTCCAGTCCAGCCCCTATTCAATCACTCATAAATTTTGTAAAACACTGTTTTCATCTTTTCACCTCCCTCTGTTCAAGACCTCTCAGTGACACCTTATACTTTCCTACGTACCACATCAAATCTAAACTGAGCAAACTCTCTATAATCTATCCCTCTAATTATAATTTACCACTAGTCTCTGTAGAAATCTTGCTGAAGCCATCAGGTTGGTCATCTAATTGTCTTTTAACCCATACCTTGATCATTTAAATTCTATCCTACTAATTTACAGGGACATTGTAGGGATTGGATTCATGTCCTCATTTTATCTAAACGTATTTATTAAGCACTGGCTACATGCCAGGCACTTTGGTGAACACTGGACATGCCCGAGTGAATGGAACAGTCATGGCCCCACCCTCATGAAGGAGATTGCCAAGTCTTCCAAAGAGCTATTCAAAGGCAAGTTGTTAGCAGTAGTATTACTTCCATCTCCATTCCTCTACTCTGGTGGTTCACCCTCCCTAAATGCTTTTCTATTTCCTCTCTACTTCCTCAATTATACCAACCCTCAAAGTCCTAGACTAAATCCTACCTACACTAGGAAGCTCACACTGACATAGCCTGTACCACCCAGATTAATACTTTGGTATGTACTGACTAATATCACTTACTAATTGTTCTCTGAATGTTATTTCCCCAACTAGATTGTAAGCCACTGGAGAGAAGGAATAATTTTTATACTCTAATAGCCCAAGTGTCCTTGAGCAAGTTACTTAACTTCTCTGACCTCAGTATTCGCCTGTATAAAATGTCATTATAACTCCTAGGGTTATTGTGAAGAATAAAAAAAAAAATAGAGCTAGTATCTAGAATATACAAAGAATGCCTGTCAGCCAATGAGTAAAAGGAAATCTAATTTCAACTAAAAAAAAAAAAAAAAAGTGGGCCAGGTGCCGTGGGTCACTGTAATCCCAGCAGGAGGCTTCCCAGAGGAGGCCTAGGCTGGTGGATCCTTTGAGCTTAGAAGTTCAAGACCAGCCTGAGCAAGAACAAGACCTCATCTCTACTAAAAATAGAAAGAAATTAGCTGGACAACTAAAAATGTACATAGAAAAAAATTATCCAGGCATAGTGGCACATGCCTACAGTCCCAGCTACTCGGGAGACTAAAGCAGAAGGATTGCTTGAGCCCAGGAGTTTCAGGTTGCTGTGACCTAGGCTGACACCACGGCACTCTAGCCCAGGCAACAGAGTGAGACTCTGTCTCAAAAAAACAACAACAACAAAAAAAGAAAACTGAAAGACATAAAAGAGGATATCAAAAAAGTCAATAAAAAAGTACTCAACCTCATTAGATCTCAGTTAAATGCAAATTAAACCACAATGAGTACCACTCATACTTACCAAATGGCCGAAATTAAAAAATGATAATGTCAAGTGTACACAAAGGTGTAATGCAACTAGAACTCTCACACTGGTAGTAGAAGCATCGATTGACATAATAATCATTTTGGAGAATTACAGGGGGCAATATCTACCAAAGTTGAACATATGCAAACCCTATGACAAAGCAATTCTACCTCAGGTACATAATCCAACAGAAATGCACCAAAAGATATGTTCAAAATATTCATAGCAGCATGATTTGTAACAGCCCAAAAGGGAAGATAATCCAAAGGTCCATTAACTGAAAATGGACAACAATAAATTGTGCTATATTTGTACAATGGACTGTTCTATAGCAATGAAACTGAAAGAATTAAAGCCACATGCCGCAACATAGATGAACTTCAAAAAGCATGATGTTGAGCAGAATAAAGCCAGACTCAGAAGCCTTAATACTGAGTGACAGCATTCACATAAGGTTCAAAAAGAGAAAGGACTAATCCATGGTATTGGAAGTCAGGATTATGATCATCATTAGGGAGGAAGGAGGGGATAGAGCATGGGCAAGGTGAGGACTTCTG